TATATCGTATGTACATTACGCTTTCTTCTTCAAAGTGTAAACGTATATTATGTTTATGGAGGTGTATACATATAAATAATATTATAAATGCACTCGTGCACCTATCATATCGAACGAGTTATAAGTGCGTCGCGTACACCCGAGCGCAAAGCATTATGATATTGATGAAGTTTTCTTGCTCTCGATTTTTTTCTCMTTTTTACTCAAAGCAAAATTGATACCAACCTATAGTAATAATACTAATATGTTCAACGTTTTCACTCAAAACTGTCACGTCTACCGACGGTAGTAGTATATTATTATTATTATTATTATGATTTTTATTATTATTATTACTTACCGTAACGCGCTTCACAAAAAATGCGTACACAATTTATATAATGCATAATATTATTCACAATATATACTGCACCCGGGAGATTGATGGAATAATGCGATCAGTGCCTATTATATAATGTACAGGAACAGCTAGTATACTGTATAATAAAGTTGTTGTAGTGTTGTAAGTATCGACGACCTTTATATTCCATATATAATCATATGCTCTCTCCGAGTCGATCCGGCGCTAAACTTTACAGGTTTATACACCGCAGCAGAAAATAGCATTACCTATATGTATTTTAAGTAAGTGCGAGGTTTTACATATTTATGTGACGTATATAATCGAACAATAATTATACTGTATGAGCGTATTGCGCTGTAAAGTTTTAAAATTAAACAATCCATTTTAAGAAATCCTCGAACACTGCTTGCAATCATTTCCGGTCGRTTATTAACTTAATTCTCATAACGGTACATTTTAAAATTAAAATTATAAACRTCATCTACCCCCTCCTTCCCATCGTGGTACGAATAGGTAGTACTTCTGGGCTTAAAATTTTCGAATTATTTAGTAAATACATATAATATRGTTAGGCGGAAATAATTTTATTTAATTTTGTGGTGGTAGTATGCCCTCAAATTTATGGCTCTGGTATCAATCCTTGTGAAAATCATAGCGATTATTAACAGTATAATCTTCGATTACAATAGTTACAAAAACTTTGCGTCATTACCTATATTTATCTGTGGTTGTGGTTATGTACTGCCTTTCCATACACATAATACAAACTAATATGAATTCATCGCGAATCAATATACGTATCTATTCTATGAAATAGTATAATGTTTAAATATAAAATATTTTAGATCGGTAAACATTTCTACCTCGAAAAGTCGATACTTTTATTGATTGCGATACAATTGTACATTTTACTGCAGTATTGCGATACAAATGGCATAGGTATGATTGCTATTCAAACGTCGCACTTTAGTTAATGGTCGGTGGTGTAAAACATAATAACCTTTACATTGCCAAATTCTATGCAAACGTCTATTGAAAATTGTTCACTGTGGTGCAGTTTTTGCATTAAGAAAATTATGACTAGTTATTAAGATATTGAGTTTTCCAAAAAAAGAAGAAACATGGTGRTGATAAACAGCTCGATCGAAGACATATGATAGAGATATAACATGAAGGGGAAGAATAAGAAACTTTAAGCGCACACAGTAAAATAACACGATAAAGACGTTCATCAATCCATCTCCCGAAGATTCGTCACACATGTGTTAAATATAACACACGCGCTGGTTGTACGAACTCGTCTGCATATACACAGATATAGACAGACTTTTGTGCTTAAATATATTATGCACATGACATATATATATATATATATTTATATATACCTTCGATACGTATTGAATGACGATATTTTCGTCTCACGCATTAACACTCGAGCCTTCAATAAATATAATGTATTATAGGTGAATATAATACRTTATAATATTGTGCACACGGTAAATTTGTCAACGGCCATAAATTATGTAGGTACCTACTGCCGAAGAGCTTATAATACGAATTTTATTTCAAAACTATGGTCGTGTATCGAAGGTATGATTTTAAAGCTTAAAAATTGTATTTTATTTTCAAACATATATTACCTATAATAATAATAACATGCTCTCTTAAAGCATATTTAAAAWATATATATATGTATTTAGTGCAGATGTAACCTTCAATAACATAATATTTATTGCCTCTATAATTTGGTGCACCATTATATAGCGATAGGTGTACTTAAAATCTATGACATTCGTGAAATAATTTTAACCAAAGCTCTAMATATTATCACGGCAAGGCGTAGTTAAAATTTAAACGTATCCGAGTTTGCTAGAATTTCTTGACGTTGTTCTTTGGTTTTCTGAAAAACTAAGCGGAGTTTAAATGAGTTATTTAAACAACAAACTACTGCTTTTTGTCTTAAATGTGTTGAACTACTTATAATATAGCGCTAAATATAAAGACCAAGTTTTTCGTAAATTATTTAAGTCAATATTATAACACCAACGTAGGTTGGTAAATATAAATTTCGCCAAACCCTCAGATTCCAAAAGAGGTAGGCAATGATGGAAATACTAAGATAACTGCTTTTAATTATAAAACGTTTACTAATATATTGTAACAATAAAATATACTTCATAGTGATGTTAGCATTGTTCATTGAATCAAATTATATAACTACATTATTACATAATTATGAATAATATTATTATATAAATTTTCTGCTGTAGTAAACTAACAATAGTAATTATAAAAGCACCTAAAATAATAATTTTAAATAGGGTTCAGCTGTAGGATGAGTTCGTTGCATCATTTTATTTTAARAATATTAATGACAGCAGAGCAGGTACGTATGTTAGTAATAATAAAATATCACGACCTGCTCATTCGATTGTAAAGTTTTAAATGCCATCAATAATTACGGTAGATTTATTTAGGCTATACGAAAACTTTTTGCAACCACTCGTCAAATGAAATTTGTAAGTCGGTTTCTCAGTGAGTCAGTGTTTTATTTATTTTACACCCAGAGTGTTAGGTGTAACTATTTAACAATGGCCTACGCATACCATCAAAATTAACTGATTTGCAGATCACATTAGTACGACATTATATATTCACATTATATTGAGAATATGTAATAACCAGTGTGTCACAATAACTAAGTGCGTGGGTAGCGTYCATCGTCTCCGAACCCACTTAAGCAATTATTGTCATTTGTGATCCTATGTTTCCCATCCGGGAGACGAAACTTTCGTAAGCGGTTCGAGTAGTCAGCGTTTAATAATTCAGAAAATTGCTATTTTTGAATTTGGAAGGTTTACCATCAGCTAAATAGACGTTGAGTTCGAGAAAATATCTAGAATCCTTATTCGTAACCAGGTCGTCTTCGTAGAGAATTAGGTTCCGGAGTGCATGGTGGTGGCTGGTGAAAAGTATCCACAGTCAGTCGGACGGTGGTCGCGGCGATAACGATGGCTAATTAAATATTAGTAATATTTACCAACAATTACAATAATTCATATTATTTTACTTTTCATTTATGTCCATAAAAACTAATTATTACCCTTTTGCAAACTAGCTTTTTGATGTATTGTCATCAAAATACTTTATAAATTGAACACTTTTTTTTTTCATTTCGAACGATACTATAGTATATAGTTTTCGTCTGTACATTATCTCCCTTTCCCATCGACACAATTTCGAAATTCATTCTTTCGAGCGGACATTAAATTATTGTACAATGTGCAGTATAATAAATCATGTATATAACAATTATTTTTATTTGTATCTGTAAAAATAACACATATCGAAACTTTAGTGACGAAAGTATACAATATTATAATATACCAAGTTTATACGACTTCATTTATTTGAAAACTATACTTAATGAGTGGGAGGACGTTATAATATATAAAAATTATACCCTTCGTTTACATTTCCATARTAAATAATATACTATATATTATATACTATAGTAGATATAGTAATAAATTATTATTTAATGCAATTTAAAAGTTTACGTACTGCGAAAAGTGCAAAACATTTTTCTTCAGTTATGGACTACAAAGTGTATAATATAACTTCACAGCCGGTCCTATTAAAATATTAGATTTAACTTTAAGGTTATAAAAATATTACATATAGTAGGTACATCACCTCTCATCATATCTTTATATTATAATAATATATTATATTGTATTACTCATACTAACGTTGTAATTTATTATTTCATGGTTTTTCTTGATGATATCTATTATTTTTCCATCGTAAAATTTTTGGTGTAAAATACATAACATAGGAAGTATTGTCAAAGGAAAAGAAGGGGCCAAAAAATAAAATATATTAACGTATTATTTTCTGAAACCGAGAGAAGTGGTTTTGCAATCGTCCTCTTATCCCTTCATTCTCTTCCCACGAGTCTTTGTTAACTCGTTTTTATATGCAAATATTAATATTAAACAATACTTTAGATTTAAGTACGCTTAGATGGTCATTTTTAAGTGGAAAAAAAAGTATTTTGTTTGTACCACAGTACTACAAGTGACCACCCCCATCGATTCTTGAAATAATGCAAAAAATAACAATCACTACTGGATATGATTGACAAATTATTAATTAACCATATACATATGGAATCAATAATAATTAGTGTTGTAAGATTTGGTTGTGTATTATATGAATAATAATCCATTTTAATTCGAATATGATTAAGTAGAGACGTAGAGTTAATATAATCACTAAACCCACGTAAATTATTTAGTTTACTATTCATAATATATGTTAGGTACTCGTATTTATCCGTAACATTTAATAAATCAGCATTTTCAAAAAAACAATACCTGTACTTAATAATTCACGCTAAAAATATGTGGTTCTCATTTTACTGAAAAAAAAATTGTCTAGTCAGATCAAACATCTAAAAAAATTAAACCATTGAAAACAGTACATTCTTTAAAAATACCTAAAACTTCCAAATATCAAAACTAGAATAATATATCATTTTTAGATAAGTTTAAGTATGGATGATCATAGTCCATATAATATATCTTATTATTAACATGTATATGATATATACATATACATTGTACTGATGCGCGTGACATGATGTATGTTTCAGTCGCTCCGATCGTTTCACTCCGGCTTGGAAACTCGATCGACCCGAATGGCATCAAAGAGGGAGACGATGTGTACTTCGATTGTCACGTGAAAGCCAACCCGCCGTCGACGAAGCTCACTTGGTATCACAACGTAAGTGTATATATATACCTTATTTATACGTCAATTTTACAATTGTGTGTGTACGCATACCCTATTTACATACGTTAAACATATAATATACCTTCCTATATACATATTATGTTGAATTGAGTATCGTACGAACGTAAATATTGTTAACCATACATATCGCGGAGTTTACAGTGACGGAAAGATGAGGGGAACAAACTATAAAAAAAAAAAAAAAATATTGGGAAAAAATTTGGTAAAAAATGGTGATAATTCTTCGAATCAGCGGCGTGAGAGTAAAAGTAGGNAAAACAAATGAGGGTAGATAGTTTGCGTCGCCTGCGAAATAAATCTTCGAATCAGCGGCGTGAGAGTAAAAGTAGGAGGACGTACACCTATATATAATACATGATACAAGACTTTCTATTTATCAAAAAAAAAAAAAACAGATCGTTTGTAATTTCGCACTGTAGTCTCGTGTATATAATATATTTACGTATTTGTTCGAACTGCTTAAAAGTGTTCGTAAACATCGCGCATGTTTTATACCTATAGCCCCCTGGGAAAGCTACGAATGCCAGACACAAATTTGTAAACGTAAAGAAACCTTTTTTTTTGACGGTCTCAATCCCATTCATTTTTTACATTATAATTTATTATGACACGAAGAAACAGTCTCTTCTTTTTATTAAATATATTTAAAATAATTACAATTCCCTAAATTTTTTTTTTTGCTTCCTCCTTAGATGTAATTAACTACAATGATTTGCATACATTTACAGTGCTATCTATTTTTTACATCAAATTAAACCAAATTAATATAATGGCATTATATAAAGCGCCATCCCGCGAAATACTTTGAGATGTTTTTACACAAAATATAATAATTACAACAACAGACCTTCTCATTAAATTAACACACAATTTACGCTTTTCGGATTAAACCATATCGTTAATACCATGGTAAAGATGTTTGCTCGTACAAGTTATACACTTAAAAACGCAATTTATTCGCACATATTTGGTAAATTAAATAATATGATGATAAACGTTATTATGATATAAAACACATAAGTAAATTATTAATTATTTACTTAAATAAACAACATAGTGTTTACACGCACAAACTTAAAATTCTATTAATTTTTGATTTAAATTACTATCTGTCTTTTCCAGTTCTCTTTGATTTATATTTTATACATAAAAATGCTCTTAGGTATTTACATAAGTAGTTTTTTATATTATTTTCAGTGTAGAAAGTATAAAAACAGCTTTGAAAAGTTTTCTAAAAATTGTATTCAAATCTGGGACACTGTGATTGTGTGAGAAGTTTGAATTCATTAAGATATGTTTGCTTGTAAGACATAGGTTGTTAATTAGTCCTGATACCACGTTAATTAAAACGAGAAAAAAACACACGATACACGGTAGGTATGGGTACAGCTTCCGATATTATTGCAGTGTTACGCCTACACGACACACGTTATGTAGTACCTAATGTTATCGAATGTACACGATAAAATGTAATTCTCGTATCTCGTGTCAAAAGTGTTTTGTAATATCAATAACACAGAAATTACGTATATCAGGTAGGGAAGTACAGTGTATATACACATAAAATATGAAAAATACACATATAGCTGCACAGACACGTTTGACGTAGTCTCGACTTTTCCTTCTCGACTCCTAAGAACTCAATCAATCTTACAACGTACAGTTTATGTAAAAAAAAAAAAAAACAATATTAATAACAATATACATACTGCAGTACCTTATATTTATGATAGACATAATATGTAATAAAAATGTTTTTTTTTTCAACAATATTCATTGGCATTGTGACTTTCGCTTAGTTTTTAAATTTTAATATCACCTAATGGTATTCCACGTTGTTCAATAATATCAAGAATTATATTTTTTAAATTTTGTTTTCAAACGAACGACGCCAAGTTGAGTTTACGTAAATATTGCAATCATCTTCTACGTATTATGAGACAAAAAAAAATTATTATTATTATAAATAATAAATGTCGCAATAAGAATCAACACAGAAGTTCATGAGCCAACAATACCAAATTATTCAGAAAATTAATACCGTCCGAATTGTACTGAAAGCGGGAAAAAATAGCAATTAGCTCCTGAAAATCAAAAGCAAAACTTTTTTTTTTCCAAATGGATGAGTAAAGGGTGGAACTTTAATGATTGCGCAAAAAATAAAGTAATAATAATGGTAATAAAAATCTCTAGACACTTTTAAATTGAAAAAAATTACTCAAGAACAAAAAAATAGTTTTAAAATAAATATTATTTTGACATCAAATTATTAAAAAAAACTCTACATTATTATTATAATAAATTAGGTTTAAAAGATGGATAAAAACTCGTAAAGTTTTCACTCTCCTGTTATTCACATGGACATTATGAATGTTCTGACTTCATCGCCATACGAAACTTTTTACACGTGGGAAAGGTTATTTTTTACGCATTTTGTTTAACAAAACCGCCTGAAGCAGAATGTGTTCTTCAAATACTATTAGCTCTCGTAAAGATTACGGGAAAAAGTCAGAACCTATTTTCACCGTGAAACAATTTCTTTGACATCCCAATAGTGTGCGAATTTGTGGGGTGTTTTATCATTTTAGTGGGGAAAAAATATATTTTTCAGTCTTTATGTCTTTAATACACTTTCAAGTATAGTCATCATTCATATTATATTGTATTTTAAAATAATTGGTTACTAGCCATTCATTATTCATCAATATTATATATACCTAGGTGCATGTTGTAGGTACCTAACCTACTACTTAATAATACTGTCCACATTAAAAAGTATCTGTAATAAATCATTACAATTTTCACTGGACACAAAACTATGATTAACATGATATTGTATTAAAGTATCCATTTTGTATTAATTACCAATGTATAGATGGTAGGTACCTAATTTTAAAGTTAAACCATATAATATGGACAAAGTTCACATTATTCTTGCATTATAAATTCTGTGTAAAATTTAAAAAAAGAAGAATCATTTGAACTAGAAAATATTTATTACACGCATAACATCATAATAATATTAATAATAGCCATAAGAAAATAACCAACAACTAAAAAAAAATTATGCAAAAATAAAAMATGTTTCCGCCCGGGATCGAACCGGGGACCTTGTGCGTGTGAAGCACACGTGATAACCACTACACTACGGAAACCAGATGTTTAAGATGAGAAATTGCACTGTATATAACACGTCCTATTACAGTAGTGTAATAATAATAAMTTTTTTTAATAATAATAACTTGTTTTCAATCATTGTCCGATAATAATATTATAAAGATTGTTTATCAATAAATTTCGTACGTAGGCTTATCTACAAATTGTTTCATATTTTTGGTAGAATGATAGCCAGTAGATAACAGTATGACYATTGTTTAGTTTACGGATGAAATTACAATCGTGACAAACTGACAATATTGCTTAGGTATGAGATATTGTATCAAATTGAACGAAATAATAAAATAATAATTTTATAGATAGGCGGCCTCTCTTTCCAGATAGCGTGGACTACTCGGGAGGTTATTGCCGCCCAAGACCGCGATTCGAACCGACGCGTCGCAACCAACGTCTTAGTCTGCCCGGCCCCGGCCACTACACCCCCTCAAATATTTAAGTTCAAGTTTCAACTAACAAATGAAGAATATATTAATTTATTTTATTGTAATATTCCTTTGGAAATACAAATGGTAAATTATAGTTAACACTTCATAAATACGACTTAATGTTTATTGTTTACTATGGAATTATATAGTTATAATTTCATTTTATGAAGACCATATTATATTATTTCTATCGTAATATCAATTTATAACGTATTAGTGTATGATTGTCCATTAAGTATTTAATAATCAACTATTTTATTGTGATAAGTAATATCGTAAGTATGATTTTTCTCTGCAAACTTACTACAACGTCAATAACAGATAATATTATTTAGATTTAGTTGAACTTCAATATTAATTGATTTGAAAAATCACATTCAGTCGTAATTAAATAATTAAATACAACTGAATAGTTAAATAATTAATTCTCAATTTATACGCCATAAATTGCCATAAATTAACAACAGTTTATAATACACAGAATATATGAAATAAATAAATAAACATATTTCATATATTCTGTGCATAATAGGCATGTAGCTTAAATACCTATACCTACTAGGTACTTAGTACCTACTTGTAATTTTTAAGAGAGATTAATAACATGATAATATTATAATGCAGTTATTATTCGGAACACTTATTTGTACTTATATATTTAGGTATACCTACCTATACTTCTTTGTCAAAAGACGATAATAGCAAGATAGACCTTCACGATAAATTACAATATTCAGATGAATAAACCCCTTTGGTGTAAGTATAAATAATGAATGCTACAAAAAATAATACACGACATCATGACCCGTATATAATAAATACTCATACATTTTATATATATTAATTTAATGGAGTCATAAATTTTTTTTAGAAATTATTAAACATGCAGTGCGTTGTATAAATTAACATTGTCTATATTGGTTATGAGTTATTGATTCGTTTACATTCTACCTTAATAATTAACTAGATATAAAAAAATAAATAAATCCGTTAAGCTTAAATCTATATATAAGTAGTTTTGGCCAAACGACATAGGTGGGTAATAAGTCTTACTTATTTGAAAAATAATGTTTTTTCTCCATAACGTGAATTCGTTGATACGATTTTCAGATTGAAAAATGTTATTTAAGATATTATAGCATAAAAGAATTTAAACTATCTTGAGTATAATCTTTTATCTTCACGTCCAGTGAATAAAAATAAAGAAAAAATGAAAAATGATACATCTCTGCAGGAATTTGAAAACATATTTATATAATCTATATTATAATAACCACGGAGTGAATATAGAATATTCTTTCAATATAAATAATATATTATTTTATCTAATCAATGATTAAACTTAGTTATCAATTATATTAAACCTTGGYAATATCTATAATGTATAAATACTGAATACAGTGGCGATCAAACGTAGGGGTGATGGAAAAATGGACCCCCTCCTAAGAGGACCTTTTTTTGAATTTTCAAGATCTAATTACTATAAATATTATATTTTTAATACTTATAAACAGTGCATGTTAAAAAATCAGCCTCTTCCCCCAAAACAAAATCAWTTGACCACTAAGGTCACTATGCTGATTTTATTCAATCTTAAACAATTACATGAGAAAATTCACTAAGAGTTGAGACAATGAATACCTCTATTTCTAAGGATTTAATAATTAATTAATATTAAGTAGGTAGCATTAGAAATTTATGTGATTATGACTTTATCAGCTACACCTAGATTATATAGAACTATTTAAAAAAAAAACCTCGATTCAATTGTATTGTTAATTATTATAATATAATATTTTGCATTATTTTAATTGACTTACAATCATACGGTGTGATAATTATTCATGAAATATATATTTTTTAAATTATTCTATAATTTTAAAACATTTCATTTGTATTTAAAATAATAATAATATACGTGCCACAGTGAAATATTTCTTACCATATGTTTATAATTTCCAATTACAACATAAAACTATAATAACCATTAGAAGAAAAATTGAGGTTTTTGTGTTGATATACAAATTATTTGTCCAAAGTTGAAGTTCCAATGTCAATAATTAAAAACATTCCAATTTAATTTGGATTTTTTTTTAATCTTTCAAGACCAATTTATGAAAAATATATGTTTAATTATCGCTTCGACTAATAAAATTGAAAATAACCAGAGTTTTTTTACAAATAATTTACTAATGTTCGTAATTTAGACAAATTTTATTAAACATTTATTTTTCCAGACATTTTATCCATTTTT